CAAAGCGCCGATTTAGCAATTCTCACCTTGGTGCCTTGGAATGAGTCCCCTGTATTTTTCACACATCTTTTCCCCTACATGCAACTCAAGAGAAGGCTTTGAAATTCCTAGATAGACCCGTTTAAAGGGGGGTAACACTTTTACTTAAACGCAAATATTCGTGGAGGCTTGAGTGAGTATTTTCAGTCGTAAAACTTGCATGTTTGGTTCCTCCTTCGGCATTAAATCCCATGGCAATAGCAATGGCCTCGATTAAAGTTGATTTCCCTGTGCCATTTTCCCCCACGATGAATGTGACATCTGGATGAAAGGTCAACTCTCCCAAGTTGGCAACAACGGGTAAATTAAAAGGATACTCCTCATGAAGGCGTGGTGGAAAAAGAGGCTGAGATTTAAGGGCAACTGACTTTAGGAAAGGTTTTGAATCAATAAGCTTAAGTTTTTGTTGATGTTTTTTTTGGAAGGGCATGTTAATGATCTAGGGTTTCAATGCTGACCTCATCTAGACTGGAGTGATGATCAGGTGTTGAGTTTTTTTCAGCATTTTTAATGAGTTGGAAAATTTCTCGACTATTTTTTCGCATGGCTTCAGATTGATCATGGTGTTGGGCATGCCAGAAATTACGTAACAACGTTCTTAATCCTTGCTTGTCGACGTGAGGATGATCTGCGAGATAGTTGGTTAAAACTTCTCCTTGTGGATCATTGAGTAAGCGATCTCGCATTCGTTCAATACGATGCAGTTCGGCGGTTGCTTCTGCGCTTTTGCCCTGAAGGCGATTAAGACTATCGGTAATTGCGATGATCTCTTGTTCATCTAAGTGGCGCATGAGTTTGCCAATGTACTGTAATTGCCGTCTACGCGCCTCATGACTTTTGAGTCTGTCAAACTCTTTCATCGATTCAAAAAGTTGATCATCGATTGGTATGGTTTTACGTTGATCGACGGATAATTCAAGCATGGCTTTTCCAAGATTTTGAATATCATTCATTTGTTTTTTAATTTGGGTTTTCGAAGGTCCTACGTCAAAATCCTCCGACGATTCATCGGGCTGTTTGATACGTGGCGCTTGGAAAAGTTTTGTAGCACGTCTAGGCGTACATTTACATCAAGTATCTCATGGGCAAGCTTTTTTAGAACTGATTCAAACTCAATTTAAAGAAGGTCAGTGTTTGTACATTTTAGATGAGCCAGAGGCAGCACTATCTGTGAATCGCCAAATGACAACACTGGTTGAGCTTGATTTACTCGTGAAAAGCGGCGCACAATTTATTATAGCCACCCACTCACCAATCTTATTAGCTTACCCAAACAGTTGGATTTATCAACTCAATGAGAACAGCTTCGAAAGAATTTCCTACAAAGAAACAGATGCCTATATAGAAACAAAGCGATTTCTAGATCATCCAGAGCGCATGACACAACTTTTACTGACTCAGCGCAATGAGTCATCATCAGAAGAATAGATCATCTTTTAATGACTCGTTTGTTCAGAAATTGCAACTACCTGTCCTTAAGCATTTTTTCTTCGACGGGACTGATTAAGGATAAATCGATCAATTTATCTATTAACTCAGGACGTTGCCTAAAAGTAGCTTGCAAGCTCTGCTCACGCCGCCATGCCATAATATTCGCATGATGCCCTGATAACAAAACCTCAGGAACATCCCCCAATTCACTGCTCTCTGGCCTTGTGTAATGTGGACAATCGAGTACACCATTGACAAAACTATCTTGCTCACAAGATTGCGAACCTTTCAAGACGCCTGGCAACAAACGAATCATGGCATCCATCACTGCCATTGCCGCGATTTCACCACCTGAAATCACAAAGTCTCCTAAACTGATTTGCTCATCGACATAGGCATCAATCCAACGCTGATCAATGGCTTCATAGCGACCGCACACTAAGACAATATCACGTTGAAAAACACAACTCGCCTGTTGCTGATCAACGATCCATTCATGGGTAATCGCATGACCTTGAGGTGACGTTAAAACAACGCGAGGTTGATGGCGCTGCCAAGTAGCCGAGCAAGCAAAAATCGCCTGCAATGTGCGCAGCAGTGGTTCTATCATCATCACCATACCAGGCCCCCCTCCATATGGACGATCATCAATTCGGCGATAAGGGTCAGTAGTAAAATCCCTAGGATTCCAAAGACTTAATTCAAAACGTTTTTCGGACCATGCTCGTCCAGTCACACCATACTCTAAAATGGCTTTGAACATTTCTGGAAAGAGGGTAATCACGTGAATATGCATACAACTCATCTAAAAACTGGTGAAAATCTTCATTTGTCCGATTTTACGACAAAATTCCATTCGTATCGGTAAAATAGATCACGATTGAGTCAAACGCTTAACATGACACCTAAATCTCCCATCGTGCTTACTCCAATTCTAAATTCCAAATAGGATGCACACGCGAAACGACGCAGACATTACAAGAGACCATTGCACAACTTCTCAAATTGGCAGAACGCATTTCGGCGATTACGAACATCTATTTTGAAACAACATGTTACGAAATCACCAAAATACACTCTATGGGTAAAAACAGGGTTGTGCAATGGTCTTTACAATTTGTAAGATTAGGTAAAGTCACAAAGTATACATCCAATTTAGGATTGGAATTACCCCTTAACAGATCTTTAATCATTTAATTTTTCAGAATAAAATCCAACCCCTTTAAAGCTGTTTGTAAAGCAACCGACTGATAGCGAATTGAAAAAGTGAGTTTTTCTACAAGTGTTAACAAACGATAACGGCTTGGTATACCTTTAGGGCAATGAGCATACTGTGAGGGATCACAACGGACGATCTCGCCATTGTGAATGACCATGGCTGGGATATTTTGCATGGCCTTTAAATCCGATAAAGGAGATTGTTTGTAAACAACCAAGTCAGCCAAATATCCCTGTCCAATATAACCCAATTGCTCCGATTGATTAGTCGCTAAGGCAGAGTTATAGGTGGCTGCTTGCAAAACTTCTGCGTTACTCATTCCAGCACGCGATAATTCGAGTAACTCTCGATAAGGCAAAGCATGATTAGAGTCTTGTCCAAAAGCAATCGTAACACCAGCTTGATGTAATTTGGCAGTATTCAAGCGCATAATGGCTGTAACAACTTTCATAGTGTCCCAATTGATGGGCTCACTGGTAAACCCAGAAGCAGGATTTTTATCTAGTGCTTTTGTCCACTGAGTTATACCATCGTACAGACGTTCGCCCCAGGTTTTATCGTTCTCCATTTGAGTAAATTCATTTTTCCACTGATCATAGCTAAAATCTGCACCAGTGACTTCTGGATCATGAGCAAAATAGCCTGCCGTACGAACTTGATGATGATATACAACGGGAGTTACAATCATCTTGCGTTTGGCCATCGTTTGTATCGTTTCATCGTCCATCACGTCCATCGGTACATGAGCTAACACATCAGCACCTTCATTAACCACTTGTTTAGCGCCTGGCAAACCATAAGCATGAGCATAAACTTTTAAATTTTGTTTATGAGATTCATCAATATAGGCTTGAAGAATTTCCGGCTTGGCAAAGCGCCATGCAGGAAGTTTTTGCCCACCATAGACACGATCACTGGTGGTGATTTTGATACCATTAACGCCTTGTTTGGCAACATATTGAACAATTTTGCGTGCTTTTGCAGGGGTATCCGCCTCCATTTTCACCATCAACAAATTCCCATCTGCTGATCCAAGATAAGGAGGATAACCACCTGGGTTGGTTAACAAAGGGCCTGTTGTCAAATATCTTGGTGCATGAT